AACCAATGAGACTCGTGCGGTCACCCCCGACCACAACTACATCCAACAACCCCTCAAAATTCCTATGCTGCACTTTGAGCATGGCCTTCCCCTTCACGCTGAGACGGGAATTCTGGAAGTCAGTAAGAATTAAATTCAACGGCCTGAGTTTGACTTGCTGGCCACTTCTACCACAAATTTTCTTAAAAGTGTCTTGAGAAATGATCAATAAAGCTGATCCTATGTCCAACTCCATCAAAAGGGGAACCCCCTGTAACTTGACATCAATGTGAAGCTTCTTTCTTAGCCGCCTATGGGCCCCAGTTTTAAAAATGCTTCTACAGTACACGCAAAAGCCCATTCTATTCTGGCTGGGGACCCTGGTATCTTTCTGAAGCAATTCTTCCGAAGACCGGTCTTTCTGGCGACCTAAACAGACGGCAGCAATGTGGTCTTGCCTGCCACATGTCTGGCAAACAGCAGAACAGAAACGGCAATCGGAGCGCTTATGATGTCCTCCACATCCGAAACACCGAGGGAATGTAGCTGCCTTGTCTTTGCGCTCTTGCGGCCTTCTCTCCGCTGGCTGCTGCAATTGGTCAACCTCCATCTCAGGATCCTGTTCGGATACTTCTCGAGCGACCTCTTGTTGGATGGAGATCGAAGTTGGAGGGTTCTTGGCAAGCCGCAATGTCTTTACAGTTCCACCCGCAGCTTCTTCGGCTGAAATTTCTCTCAAAGCATCTTGGAAAGAGACGTCTTCCTTTGCAAAGATCTTCTGTTGCAGCTCACGACTTCTTAGTTCGCCAACTAAATGATCCCGGAGTTTCTCTTCCAGGTCCTTGAATTCGCATGGCCTAGCTCCTTGTCGTAACGCCGCAATAAAGTCCGCAGCAGACTCACCAGGTCTCTGGTCCCTCTGCTCGAATGTGTGTCACCCTGCAATCACAAAAGCTTCGGTTCAAAGTGTTCTCGCAACATCCTCTTCAGCTCAGCATAAGCAATGGATTCAAGTGGTGCTGGGGCGACCAGATTCTCCGCAATACCAAAAGTCTCTTGCCCAAAGACACACAGTAGCGTAGCAGCTTTAAGACCGTCCTCCCGAACTTGGTTTACCAAAAAGTAGTTCTCTACCCAGGCCACTTAACAACTCCAACGTTCCGGATGAGCTGTGTCAAATTCCGACAGATGGCCTATGTTGGACATCGTTACTGCCGGGTAGCCTCATCAATGCCTCATGCTACAAGGCTTGAGAAGGGGTCCCTTTTGCCGAGCTCTCCTCCAGTGATCTCGTACTGGCAGGCAAAGTCGCACTCTCCAGATGCCGAACTTCCCAGTGCTTCAGGCCTTCTGTGGTGAGTCAGCCTATCTTCTTTTCATTATTTCCCTTGCAGCAAATCCCACCTTCATCGCCAGTGTTCTGTTTCCGATGTAAGACATTGAGAGGAGACAGGAGTAACAACAATCTTCTCTTTATTACTCTCCAACAGAACAAAAACAAAATGGCGCGGATTACTTTTATACCCCTTTGCAGGGACAGTGTCAACCAATCAATGCAACGTATTTCTCCCACCTTGCGCATGCGCAATAGGCTAGAGACAGCCTGTCTAATCCCGGGCATCCATGTGGTCTGCCCGGGCCTTTCTGCAGCTTCCTGCACCTGCTGAGTCACTCAGCAGGCCCAGGACATAACAGTTACCAAGAAGTCTCTGCCTCTCCTTATCTCTCTATGACTTTCAAATAAATACATAGAGCCAACATAGATGGTTAAATTTAGACTTGCCATCAAGTTAAGTGAACTGTCTCATTTATACAGATGCACCGCTAGTGATGTCGTGCAACATCATGCAGACTTCCTTTTATCCTGATACTTTCAAATCTATAATTGATTCAGACATGTATCCCAGACTCCAAGAGTTAATTCCTACCCATGCTAGGAAAGATAGGCAGCTGACAAAGAAAGTCACAAGGTCAGAATATAAGTGCATGTGCTTAAAGATGCCCTAAAATTCCTAGTCCACTGAGAAATGAGATTTCTCACCCCAACTACCCTCTTTTTATTGCAAATCTCTATGCTGGAGAATAATATACGGATACAAAACCAACATCAGAAATAGCAACATTCAAGAACCAGTGCCAGAAGATTTCAGATATCTGCAGATGTCAAAGTAACTCTTCTTCAACGAAGGAACATCAAAGGGAGATGCTGGCCTGAAATTGCTGAATATATTGAAAGTCAGAAGGTCACAAAAGTAGTTCAATCCTCTAAAATACAGGTAGTCCTCAGCTTACAACTACACTTGAGCCCAAAATTTCAATTGCTAAGCAAAACAGTTGTTACATGAGTTTTGTCCCATTTTACAAGCTTTCTTGTCACAATTGGTAAGTGAATCACTGCAGTTGTTAAGTTAGTAACACGGTTGTTAAGTGAATCTGGTTTCCCCATTGACTTTGCTTGTCAAAAGATTGCAAAAGCTGATCACATGACCCCGGAACACTGCAACCGTTATAAGTATGAGTCAGTTATCAAACATCTGAATTTTGATCACATGACCATGGGGGTGCTGTGATGGGCACATGTCAGAGGACAAGTTGTAAGTCACTTTTTTCAGTGCTGTGGTAACTTTGAACAGTCACTAAATGACCGTTTGGAAGTCAAGAATTACTCATCCATTCGGTTTCGTGTTCGAACCTGTCCATACAAAACCATAATTCCCATTCAGAGCAGATCAACTACTATAATCAACTGAAATCTAGTACCGAGAATTATTTCAATGCTTGGGCGTTCACCAGCCTTCCATGGGTCATTGACTTCAGTGGAGGAAAAGAATTCATTAGGACAAATTGCAAAGAGAAGGGGGAGGAGATGTTCTAATGGACTCTCTCCCACCCACATTGGATTCTCTCTTAGTATCTCAAAGGCCTGGAAAGGCATCCCTAAAAAGAGGAGACCCATCTGTATGAAGTGAACACTTATGCATTTAGGAAGAATGGTTTTCATTTAAAAAGAAATGTAATGTATAAATGTACATGACTGTAAACATTGAAATCCTAAATCTCCTCCACAGGAGCTGACTTTGGATGGACAAATCTGAGGCAGTTTTCTTCTTATATTTTCTGGACCCTACAAGTTTATTTTCAAACAAAGAAAGATCCTCTGTAAAACAGAATAGAGTAGCAAGGCAGGAACAGGAGAGCCTTCGAAATGGGACTCTGAATGCAGAATTTTGTAAAAGTCTTAAGAATCAGATTAATTGAATAAGTGCAAAACAGAATTTAAGCTGTACCAAAGCTACTGGAAGAGAGATTTTATTGTCACTGCAACATCCCAAGATGCTGTCACGTTTTCTTTTACTGCTTTCTCTCACCAAGTGACAGGTCTGAGTAATGAGTTCTTAAATATATATATATATGTAACTTCTATATATATTTTAACCTTGTTTTTTTCAACAAGACAGCATTACTTCTTGACTCAATATTTCTTGACATTATTTTGCACTTAGCAAAGACTAGCCTGCCCAATGCTTTCTTTATCATATTTTATGCAAAAGTAAAGCCCTGCTATACAAGGCAGCATTTGGCTCCCAAACCAATTTTTTTCCAGTACCTCAAACCTTAAGAGAAGTACTGATACTCCTTGACTTACAACCAGTGGTGGGATTCAGCTGGTTCGCACCATTTCAGCAGAACCGGTAGCTACTGTAATTTTTTGTTGCCGAGGCCCAGAATGGACTTCCAGAAGCAGCATCCACACAGAGAACCGGTTGGTCACGTATTTGAATCCCACCACAGCTTACAACCCACAATTCTGATAGTAAGTTGTGATGGTCATAAAACAGATAATCACATGATCTTTTCTGCAGCTGTTTTTAAGAGAACGCAGGAGTCATAAAGTGAACTTCATGCTTATTAAACAGATGTCACAATGGTTAAGCAAATCCATTGTTCACTATTTATTTATTTATGAGACTTATTTATTTATGAGACTTATATACCCCTTTAAGTGTACACCAGTACTGGTGTACACCAGTAAGCAATGTATATATATATTTACATTGCCCCCAACAATCTGGGTCCTCATTTTACCTACCCCAGAAGGATGGAAGGCTGAGTCAACCTTGAGCCGGTGAGATTTGAACCGCTGACCTGCTGAACACAGTCAGCTAAAGTGGCCTGCAGTACTGCACTCTAACTGCTGCACCACCTCGGCTCATATGGGCCACTATGGGCCATTTTTGGCTGAAACCCAAAGTAATCATTGGTTTCCCGAAAAAAATGTTGTGAATTGCAGTCACATGAACATGGGACGCTGCAAACTGCTGTAACATATGGGCCAGTTCCATGCAGTCACAGGTGGGGGTCTGGACATCAGAACTTTGCATCTGGGTTGTAAGTCCGTATTTTCTGATCCATCTTAACTTTAACTGGTTATAAATCGAGGTCTGCTGTAGATCTGGACTACAAAAATCCAGATCTTCAATAGGTAGCAGCTCACAAATATATACCTCTTCAGAGTTTTATAGCACTGAGCTGGTAGCCTTATAGAATCCATTCAAACATAACTACTGAATTCTGGCTTTGTTTTCTGCCATTCTGAGGCTGTCTCACCATCATCATCAAAATTAAAAAAAATTCCTCCCCAAAAGGGAAAGAATGAAAAAAACTCCTAGTCCTACTTACCTGTACAACCTTGTACCCACTCCATCCACTGTAGTCTTCATTCCTCCCAAAAGATTAGGTGTGTCCTTTTCCACCAGCCCACAAATGTTTGTCTGATCCTGACATTAAGACTTCTTAATTTCTTCCAGAATCACACCCAGCATTTTCCCCACCTGTTTTTCATCTGATAACTAACCGTACAGAAAGCAAGATACAAGTTTTAAAACTGTACAACATGGAGTCTTCACCTCACCCAACAACTATCATATTCCCCTAATATCCATTCTATCCATCAGTTCCAGCTGTGGTACTGTAGTGCATTTAAAAGAATGATTTCATTCTAAAAAAACAATAGCTCTTACCTTTAATTTGGTTCAAAAGCTGTCTCTGTTCTTGATTCTGGGTGCTGTCAGCAGCCAAAGCAGATGAGAAGGTTGGATTGTATATACATTCACACAATGCGCCCAAATTCTTTGCTCTCTTACAGAATGAAATGTCTTATCTCTTCAGCCCTTTGCATAGGATAAGTCAGTCCTAGAGTCATTCCCGGAGCCAAAGTAAAATAAATGGACACAATTCCAACACTGAAAGTGGCAACATTCAGAAATCAGCAAGGAATGTTTCCATCTCCAAGGCCATTGCAAAGAAATGAAAGCTACCATTCTTTAACAAAGAACTTAAAAGGAGATGCTAAAATTAAATTGGAGAACCAGATTTTATGTGATTGAAGTCACTTAGAGCTCAGCCCAACTCAGGTACTAGGCCACACCTCTCTGTAAGGTGAGAATAATTTGGAAAAAGGTTGGAGAAAAGGTTGTGAGATAAAAATCATACTGTCTACTAATCTTACTGATTTCCTTAGTTGTAGCTAGCATTCAAAAACACTTTGTGTACGATTTTTGATGAAATTGGGGTTTTATGGTAGGTTTTTTGTTTTTCTGGCTCAGAACATGCAGTAGCTAAGTCTCAAGAGAGCCCTGCTTTGCAGAGCTTACCTTTTTAATTGTTACCAACTTTGACAGAACCAAATCTAGCCACCAAATTATCCAAAGAAAGCCATTATCTGAACATGGATTTGATGACCAATGAAGCTTGTGACTCACCGGGACTTGATTTTTTTTCTTTTTTCCAATATTCCACCTTACTCTTCCAGCAATAACTTCTGGAAAGATGAAGAAAGACCATCTTTCCTCTTTACACTAGGAACCAAACTTCCACACAAACATGAGTGTGGAAGGTTGGATCACATACAACCTCCTTGTATATATTAGATTGCTTAATCAAGGTCCTTTAAAGGTTTTGCCAAACACATGAAGGGAGAAGTACAAATATGGGGTATAATTACTATCTTTTTTCATGCTCATATTTCAGTTTGGTATCTTCCAGATGTGTTGGACATCAACAGCTACAATCCACAAAAAACAGGCTGGGGTAGTTTAGGGTTATCAGACATACAACAAAACATTCCTCCTTTTTGTCCTCATATCCCAAATCTGACAAGCATAGCATTACAATAAAATATTGCTCAGCTTTTTTAGTATCCTTTTATTATTACTTTGGATTGTCTAAACAACACTCATTTAAGCTTTCACATATTATAACCTTGTAAACTGTCTACTTCTTTCTTTCCCTCAACTGTCCGCAGGCTTGGCAGCCTAGATTTGCATAATTTAATTTATTTTCTGTTTTCATCCCATCCCCTTCAAATTTATGAACCCTGTTGTCTCTAAATCTTATGACTCATCATATTTTTAGGCTGAAATTTGAAAAACATCAGTTAGTAGAACTTTTGAACATCTTTTAATTAATAGTAAGTGACTTCGGACATATTAGCCGTAACGATGCCGGCTGTTTCTGTTACAATACTGGAAGAAAAGTAGAACTGCTAACTCTAAAACGCGTTTTTATCCACTCTGACTTTCTTCCAGACCTCGTTGAAGGAAAAGTATTTATATGCAGCAACTAGGACCCGACTTCTGGCGGAACGCCTGCCACATTCCTCCCGTTTCAAGGCTTTTAAGCGCAATCCCCCATCTTGGTTGTGGGAACCTCGGCTGCAACCCGCTCCAACTTTAACGGTGCCACCAAAAGAGATAGGGCAGTTTCACGTCTGTCGCCATTTTGGATCGGAAACGAGGTTGCGGGAGTCATTGGACAGCAGCAGCATTTTCTCGCAGGTATTTATTGCCAAGAGCACATGGGATCCTAGCACACTCTAGGCATGCCGTTTCATATTTGCAACCCCAACCCTTTTTTTTCTCTTTTCCTTTGCATCAATGATCGGGTTTGTAGTTCTCTAAACACAATCGTCTCCCTTATAAGAAGGTCCTCCTGATGCATTAACTATATTTTCCCACGAATCTTAGCCAGTTATTGAAGTCGTAGTCCAGCTACAGATTAGGAAAAACTGGTTGATCCTGTGAATCTTTCGAAGTTGCTGCCGTTTGTATTCGGTTTATAACCCGCCTGATTGTCAGAGCAACTCCTGGGGACCTGAGCTAGATTAAGCAATTGCAAAGAGAGGCAGAATCTTGTGACACTTAAAAAAAATTACTAATGTATCTATTACTATACAAGTCCTCTTCATCAGAGGCGTGACATCTTGGGATGAGAGAGAGGTGTATATTAAACACCTTGATCTGTAATGGGAAGTGGGAATAGGGAATAAAATGGAGCACATGCCGACCATGATAATTGACCGTTGCCATTCACAAAATCAAAGTTATCTTGAGCATTAGAGCAATTTTGCCACCTGACAGATTAGTGCTATCTAACTCTTAATTCATATCTGAATCCCCCAGGCACCCTCAGATACACCATGCAATTATGACGCACACTCTGGGCCAGAGATGAAGGTGTCTACCAGATCCTCTCCACCGAGAAGGAAGAAGAAAAAGCTGAGCTGCGAGCTGCAGGATGGCTTTGGTATCTCCTCTGATCTTTTTGCACAGCTATGCAAAAAATAATAAGCAGGAACAGTATTTCTTGAGCTTGGCAACTTGGAGATGGCTGGCTGGGGAATTCTGGGAGTTGAGGTCCACACATCTTCAAGTTGCCAACGTTGTGAAACATTGGGCAAGAGGCTTGGCCGATGTAGCTATCCCTGAGCTACCTTGATCTGCCAAGGTTCTCTGGGAGACACACGTTCTGTCTTTTCCATCCTCATTGATTTTATTTTTTCATTTAAAATATTTATGGTCTAGCTAGGGGGGGTCTAGTGGCAGTTCACAGCTCATGAAAAAGATTAAGATCAATTATAACTTACTTTAAACACACAGAATAATAAACACAGTAAGACTGATTGAAACATACAAAGGAGAGAGAGGCTCTATCAGGTCCTGGACCCTTAAGTCTCAAAAACAGAATGAAAAGCCAAAAACTTTGACTGGCACTGAAAGGGCAGCCATGACAATGCCAGCCTAGCATCTAGGGAAAAAGGATTCCCAAACTAGGGTGACACAGCATATACCCACATGTTTCTTCTAACATGGGACACCCTTGCAGCCCTTTTCTGCAAATCTTCACTGTGAGAATCTCTGGCATTCTTGCAGTTCCTACCCTTATAGGTAGTCCTCGACTTACAGCAGTCCATTTAATGACCATTCAAAGTTACAATGGCAGTGAAAAAAATGATTATAGCAATAGGACTTAGACTTATATACCGCTTCATAGTGCTTTATAGCCTTCTCTGAGCCAGCATATTGCCCTCAAATATCTGGGTCATTTTATCGACCTCAGAAGGATGGAAAACTGAGCCAACCTTGAGCCGCTCAGAATCGAATTCCTGGAGTGAGCAGTAAGTTAGCCTGCAGTACTGTATTTCAACCACTGCCCCATCATGGCTTTTGTGACCATTTTTCACAATTATGACTGTTGCAGCATACCCATGGTCACCTGATCAAAATTTGAATGCTTGGTAACTGGCTCATATTTATAACAGTTGCCGTGTCCCGGGGCCATGTGATATCTTTTGTGATCTTCTGACAAGCAAAGTCAGTTAACAGCCATGTTACTGACTACAACTGCAGTGATTCATTTAACAACTGGCAAGAAAGGTCATGAAACGGGCAAAACTTATTTAAATGTTTTCTTAACAACAGCAATTTGAGGTTCAATTGTGGTCATAAGTTGAGGACTATCAGTATTTTGTACAAAATGCTCCCACCTCCTCTCTTCTCCACAACAATCCTATGAGGTGGGTTTATTCATTTATTGGTGTGCCACCTTTATTATTTTTACAAATAACTCAAGGTGAACATATTCAGTATAGCTTCCTCCTCCAATTTTTTCCACAACAATCCTGAGAGATGGGTTGGGCTGAGGGAGAATGACTAGCCCAAAATCACCCAGACATCTTTCATGGCTAAGGCAGAACTTGAACTCACAATCTCTTGCTTTCCAGCCTAGGCCTTAACTACTAGTTTTCAGGGTTGACCAGAGAGGGAGTGAATGGCCCAAAGTCTCTCAGCCAACTTTGATGTCTAAGGGAGGATTAGAACTCATGGCCCCCAGTTTCTAGTTCAGCAACATATGTATACATGTGAACATAATTACTATTAAAAAAGGCCAGCAGAAGCACCTAGGCCAAGGGTAAGCAATCTTGGCTCTTTTATGACTTGTGGACTTCAACTCCCAGAATTCCTGAGCCAGGCCCTGAGCTAGGCAACTACCGTAGTTTTCATAGAACTAATGTGAGGCAATGCCTAAAGCAGGGGTCTTCAAACTTGGTCCTTTTATGACTTGTGCTGGCTGAGGAATTCTGGGAGTTGAAGTCCACAAGTCATAAAAGGGCCAAGTTTGAAGACCCCTGGCCTAAAGAATGGCAAGCATCACGTAATTGCTGCCACATTCTGCCTAATCAGCAGCTTCCGAGCCAGCTCCATGATCAGAGAATGGACTACAGTCCCGGAGCTATTCTGACCTGGTTTAGTATAATGTTAAGTTTAACCATGGCATATTGAATAAACCACAGTTGGCAGGGTAAAAGCATAATGCTAAGCCTCAAATAAATGCACCACGGTGTATTGCGCATAGCCAAATATCAGGTGTAGATCATACGACAAGTAAGATGAGGTATTTACAGTCTGCTCTGGAATTCATGTGATAGATATTCAACTTTCATCCATTCATTTAGCAACCATTCGAAGTTACAAGGGCACTGAAAAGTGATTTACAACCAGTCCCCACAGCATCCCAATGGTCACATAATCAAAATTTGGGTGCTTTGCAATTGGCACCTATTTACAACACCTGCAGTGTCCTGGGGTCATGTGATCACCATTTGTGACTTTCCTAGCCAGCTTTTGACAAGCAAAGTCAATGGGGGAACAACTAAATCATTCACTTAACTGCTGTGATTCACATAACCATGGCAAAAAGATCATAAAATTGGGGACAACTCACAACATCTGCCTTGCTTAGCAATGGAAATTCTGATCCCACTTGTGGTCATAACTCCAGGACTACTGATATCAGGGGTCTTCAAACTTGGCCCTTTTATGACTTGTGAACTTCAACTCCCAGAATTCCTCAGCCAGGCACACTGGCTGAGGAATTCTGGGAGTTGAAGTCCACAAATCATAAAGGGCCAATTTTGAAGACCCCTGATTTATATGTTAAGGAGTGCACAAAACTGGAGCACCTGTTCCTTCTATCTTCACCTAGAGGGGCGGAGATTAAAAAATCACTGGATTAGCATGATTGGATGGATCTAGAGCAGGCATGTCAAACTGTGGGCCGAATGCGTCACGTCGAAATCGCGTCCACCCCATTGCCGGCAATGGGGGAAAAGTCGCGAGATCATGTGATGTCGCGAGTTTGACATGCCTGAGGAATCCATCCGTCAAAAAATTTAACATGGCAGCCCCAACCATATAATCAAATGGCTTTGATTACAGAGTTGTGGCTCCATCTTGATCAGGGGTGGGCAACTGTGACCTGACTTAGGAATTCTGGGAGTTGAAGTCCACAGGTCATAAACGGGCCATAGTTGCCCACCCCTGACCTTGATCCATCAGAAATAAGACTAAAGAAAAGCAATTGGATTCCAATTGTATCCAAAGAACAAAAATTAAGCTGTCCCCCCCCTCCCCCAAAAAAACTTACCTTTTTCTGGCACTCTCATCCCTCCTCCTCTATTTCAGGCCTCCCCATCACAGTGCCTTGCCGATCTAGCGGATTTCAATGTTTTAAAATCAGCCAGCAGAGCCATCAAGTGGGAGACAACAAGAACTGAAGTCCAAGGCTTCTGAAGATGCAAATTGGGAAAGGTAGCTCTGTTCTTCGCCCTTTCACGCCCTTCTTTAAGCTTTGAGCAAGAACTTTGTGCATCTCAATATTTCATTTCTCTGCACATCTGCTACAAAACCAGCTGCTGAAGATTGGTTATTAGCCAATAAATAACATCCATCACTCCCGCTGCAGAATGCAGCAGGATTACCTGCTCCGGGAAAGACAACATTAAATAAATTTCCTACCCTCTGATATCAAACAGAAATTTATGGAAAATACCAACTAAAAACAAACAACATTTATTTTACTTTTTTTAACCACATAATAAAAATCAAGCGAATGCAGGAACGCAATAAAAGAAGCTCAGGTGCAACCCTTATCATCGTTAACATAAATCTAAGTGGCCTAAACATTTTTTTTAAAAAAAGAAAAAACTTCACCTGATAAGATTTCTTAAACAGTTCTAGAAGTGATGTATAAAGAACAGGCTTTAGCTAATTAAAAAGAACAGAGTACGAGTTATTTGGGAAATGCTATACTAAGATCTTAATGGCTCACCACGTATGCATTTGGATAGTTTCAAAGAGGTTTATTTCTTCCCTCCAGCAATTTAGCATTCATCTGACTGAGAAATGTCATAACAAGCTGGCTTGTTTTTTTATTATTAATGGATGCATTTAAATTCTTTTTTTTCCTGAGAGCTCAGAGTGGCACATATATCAAAGCAGGGATGCTTCCTTCGTCTTATTTTCACAATTTCTGAAGATGAGAGTGTTTCATCATGTGCTTACTTATTTTAATCCAATTTTCTGCCATTACATGACATAGTAAATCAACTACGCTAGACTAAATGGGTCTGGCTAGTTATGGTAAGCAGGATTGGGTAAACATTATCCTAATAACTAGCCTGTTATCCAGTCAAGTCTTTGAGAAAGCCGCTTTTTGTCACTCTGATTCTGCCCTGTCCCAATTCAACACTTCAGCTCTATAATACTTGAAAAGAACCGTATTGTGGAAACAGTTTCCCACTATAGCATAGTTAAGTCCTCGACTTACAACCATAATTGGGACCAGAATTTATGTTAAGTGAGAAATTTGTTGAGTTTTGCCCCCTTTTATGACTTTTCTTGAATTTTGTTAAGTGAATCACTGCATTTGTTAAATTAGTAATTTAACCTGGCTTCCCCCGTTGACTTTGCTTGTCAGAAGGTCGCAAAAGATGATCACATGACCCTGGGACACATTGCAAACGTCAGCAATATGAACTGTCAAGCATCTGAATATAAATCACTGACCACAGGATGCTACAACAGTCGTAAGTGTGAAAAATGGTCATAAGTCACTTTTTTCAGTGCCAGTGTAACTTAGAACAGTCTCTAAATGAACTGTTGTAAGTCGAGGGCTACTTGTAACTGTTAAGTGACTCCTGCCGTCATTAAGTGAATCCGGCTTCCCCCGTTGACTTTGCTTGTCGGAAGCCATCTGGGAAGGTCACAAATGGCAATCGTGTGATCCTGCAATTGTCGTAAACACATGCCTGTTGCCAAGCACCAGAGTTTTGATCAGGTGACCGAGGGGATGTTGTGACTGGTGTTAAGTGTGAGGACCAGTCATAAGTCACTTTTTTCAGTGCTGGTATAACTTTGAATAGTTGCTAAATGAATGGTTGCAACTCAAGGACTACCTGTACTAGTAATTGAGATGGATGTCAGTAGATTTGTAGGTAGTGGTGGTAATGTTCAGTTGTTAAGTTGTGTTGACTCTTTGCAACCCCATGGACCAGAGCACGGCAGGGCCTCCCTGTCCTCCACCCTCTCCTGGAGTTTGCCCAAGATACCAAGAGATGCTCAGGTCCTGGGCCATCAGAGTGATAGTTTAAGTCAGGGGTCCTCAAACTTGGCCACTTTAAGACTTGTGGACTTCAACTCCCAGAATTCCCCAGCCAGCCATGAGTTGAAGTCCACAAGTCTCAAAGTGGCCAAGTTTGAGGACCCCTGATTTAAGTCCTTGGAACCCCATCTGTCAATAGCAGAAGCTGCCCCATGTCTTGGTGACCCGACCGTAGCAGCTGAGGAGACAAACCATGGCAGCCAGCCTCTCCACCATCAGCCCAGCCCACTGGAACGGACAGCTCTCCACGATCATGCTCTGTACTGCATCCCTGAGGAAGCAGCAGCTCTGAAGAACCTGGTGAGGAAACTGAAGGACACTGTGTCCCACCAGAGTGAGCTCCTCCTCAGCCTGCAGAAAACTGTAGAGGACCAGGAACTCCAGTGTCGGGAACTTCAGGTAAGGGCCAGCCCTGCATAACCTGGTGCATGTAATAGACCAACAGTGGGATGGTGAGGAGAGAAAAACCCCTGTGGTGTGGCTTTTGTTTCCAGGAAAAAGCAGAAGCCAAGAAATGTGAGGTTCTCGCTGATCTTGAAGGCCATGTTTCTCAACTCAAAACTGGGAAGCAGAACCTGTGCTGCCAGCGGTACCAGCTGGAGCCAAGGGGGCAATGTTTACAGAAGGAGCAGGATGCCTACAGTGCCACTGTCCTCTCGCTGAGCAAGCAAGCGAGGGGGCAGCTTGAGGACCGAGCGCAACATGAAGTCTTCTCCCTGGAGGGTGTCAAGACTCACAGCAAGTGGTTGAGGTTCTATACAGGCTTTGATAGATACCCTCGCCTCAAGGCCTTCTTGGACTTCCTCCAGGAGGGGGAGAATCTGGAGAATGGTCCCCCCTGTGCCCTCAGTCCCGAGAACCAGCTCTTCTTGGTGCTTGTCCGGTTGCGCTTGGGCCTCCTTCTTCAAGATCTGGCTTTTCGCTTCCATATCTCTGAATCCACAGCCTCCCGCTACTGGCTGAGCTGGATGGAGCTGATGGAACAGAAACTACGACAGGTGAGTGGCTGTTTCCAGTGCTTCCTTCCTTTTCTCTTCCTTCCTTCCTTCCTTTCCTCCCTCCCTCCCTCCTTTCCTTCCTTCCTTCCTTTCCTTTTCTGCCTGCCTTGCTTCCCCATCCCAGTCCAGATGAGCTGTCCTAAACTTCTTGAGCGAAGATCTCATAGCTGAAAATGATGGGAACTGTTCAGATACTGAAGCAGCATAGAAAAAGTGATTTCAATCTTCCTCAATGGCTGCTTATTGTATTTATCTGAATTTCTCTCAACCCTCAGTCTATCCTTAAAATGGCACTTGGATTATTTATTTTATGTGCTCCTTCAAAAAACTTTTTTCTATATGTGATGGTCTTTTAATTTTTTCTTTGATAGTTTCTGAAGCAGATTTGTCAATCTTGGCAACTTTTAAGATCAGTGGACTTCAACTCCCAAAATTCCCCAGTTAGCATGGATGGCTGGGGAATTCTGGGAGTTGGAAGCTTATCCCATTAAAAAAAGCTTATTCAAGGAATAAATGTGTGTGGGGGGGAACAGTAATGGAAGGTGAGCTGAGGTTAAGAATTACTTTAGCTCTCAAAGCTTTGTTTGCCTCAGGGCAGCTGGCTGACAGAACAGGGATTAGTTTCTTTAAGTATAGGTCTGCAGTGCCCCCGTAGTAGATCAGGCTATAAAGCACACAACAAACATACTTAACCCAACCCCATATATAGATCTATTGTGTATTTTCCTTGTAAGATCAAACCTTAGGCTGCCTCATGCTCCCACTTCTGGAATTATGAATAAAAAATTGTTTTTTTGATCTGTGTTTTTTGTATGTGCCCTTGAGTCAGTTTTTCACTCCTGGCAACTCCCTGGATAAGACCTTGCAGTTTTCCGGTTTGCCCTTGCCAGCTTCCTAGGGCTGAGAATGAGTGACTGGCCCAAGATCATCCAGCTGGCTTAGTACCCAAGCTAAAACTAGAACTCCCAGTCTCTTTGTTTCTTATCCGGTGCCTTAATCACTGCCTCAAACTGGCTCTTCTGTTTGATCTGTATGGTGACTCAAATCTGAATTACTTTGAAGTATCATTTAAAATTAATGGAATATACTGAATTGCCACAGACTTTTTCTATTTATTTTAATGAGAGCTAAACCCTTTCCCTGGACTCTTTTATGCATTTATGTCCCAATTTTCCAAATCTTCTTTGATCATTCAAAATAAAAACAAGACCTTCACCAATATGTCTTTGCAGAAAGTCAATCTGTGACTTTTTGAATGTCACTGAATATTTTCCTGGACAGCAAATATTTTATCCTAGTTCATGATCCCCAGAAGCATTATATTGAGAAAGGACTTAGACGGCAAGACTCTCATCTCAGCAATTGGGACATTGGGTGAAGACAGAATCTCATTCCTATTGTGAAGACTTTCCTATTCGCAAATCATACTAATGATCCACTATCGCTTACAAAGTTGCTACTATTTGGTTGTATCTGATCAAGGGTACACTAAGCCTTGGCTTAACCAAGGACTATATTCCAAAAAATAAGCAGGGCCAAAACAAACTTTTAATTATATGTATTACCCCCATATATTCATTTATCCCTTTATCAAAGTAAATCAGTGTTTTTCAAACTTGCACTTTTAAGAGGTGTGGGCTTCAACTATTGAATTTAATTCAACTGTTAAGCATCAAAGTCCACATGTCTTAAAGTTGCCGGGTTTGGAAAAAACTGGATTGATCTTTAGGGTGCAACAGCAAAAAAGGGAAGGGTTATGTGGCCCTCTCAACACCCCTTCTGGGGGACATAAATAGGAGGGATAGCCTTGTGATCCCATTCTTCTTATGCCCCCCCCCCCAAAGCATTTGCTTTACCATCACGGGAACAGGATGCTAGACTTATTAGTTGAATCTCAACTATTACTCCTGTTGCTAATCATCCAGCTTAGATCGTATACCACCTCCCCCCTAATCTTTTTGCCTATAGATGCCTACATTGTCTGTGGGCCTACAGCAAATGAGTATTTCTCACCACTGGCAGGTTCCAGTTGCCTTCAGTCAGCGCTACATAGATGCCTTCAAGCCACAACAGCAACTTCGACATCACGACACGGTGCTGGTGGCTCTGGACTGCGCAGAGCTTTTTTTCGAAGCCCAAGGAACGAAGCGAGGCAAGCGAGATGGCTCCCGGAGTCCTCGGGCCCACTATTCAATCCATGGGTACGCTCTGGCGGCGCCTAGCGGCTTCCTCACTTTCAGTGCAGGAAGGAGCCATGAGTTGCCCTCACTGCCTCCATTCCTGCAGGCGGGACCCGTGGAGCTGACGGCTCAGCAAGAGGCTGCCAAGAGGCAGGTACTGAGTTTACGTAGCCTGACAGACAAGGCTCTGGGCTTCCGTTTCCTGCGCCTGGTTCACCCTCAAAATATGGAAGACCAAGTGAGGAGGGCCTGGATCATCTCCTGTTACTTGGCCTGCCTGCTGCATGAACCAATGGGTCTAATCTAGAGCAAGGATTCCAGTATCCTCAGGACTTTCGTTTTAATAACCGCCTTACTTGTGAACGTTTTGATCACAGGTCTGTTCAGTTAAGATGAATCCCTCCTCGGAGTTAATACTTTCCTGCTTTCCTTGATCATGGATAAAACAAAAGCAACATTCACATATTACCTGCACAGTCCAGCAATCCAGTAATTTTATTTCAAATTCCCTTCCCCAAATTACTTTCCTGAATTGTTAACATCATGTTTTCCAGTTTCCTTCCTAGAAATGTTTAGGGACTGGTTTTTTTCTCCCCCTTTCCTTTTTTTGTCAAATCTTAACTACTGGCAACTAAGGTTTTCTTTGCAACATTTTCAGTAGTTTGACACTGCATTTTTCCTAGGGCTGAGAGAGTAGCTGGCCCCAGGTCACCAGCTAGCATCCTATCCAAGATGGGACTCAGCTTGTTGTTTCTAGCCTGGTATTTTAACCAGTACTTCAAACTAGTTCCATGGTCTTTTTATCATCTTGTTCTTTTTAAAGCAAACAGTTCTAGATCCCAGATTCAAGTGTGGTAAATTTCATTCCTTTTTTTTTTCAGTCTGTTCTCAGATACTGCCTCTAATTCTGGGGTCACCAATGGCTAACAAATTAGTGCTTAAAGACTAGGTTGGCATATTACTTCTATTTTTTTTAAATCTTCCAAGGATGTCTCTCTATGCTGAAATTTATTGCAATTTCAGAATATTTTTCCAACTCCCAGTAAGGACCTAATCCTACTATTTGGTCCTTGACTTTAACTAGCCAACATTTCTACTAAAGGTCTTCCAATAACTGGCTTTTTTTTTAAACAACCCTGTTTACAATGTGAGTTATTTATTAATTACAGGAGGTAAAGATTTCTTGGGAGAAGAATGTATTTTAAAGTGAAGTCTCAAATTCTGTTTTGACTCAACAGATCTTTGCATGCTGGACTCTGAGCAAACAAGCAGACACTGTCAGAATATTAATTTGAGACAAAAAAATTTTAATTGTCTTATATTGGGCGTTACATTTTTTATGAAACATTCTAGTTTTTGTAGCCTCGACTGGCACGGCGACCTCGAGCTCGTTCAAATTTCCGCCCCTTGGATCGGACATATGGCCTGGAAAAAGAAAAGGGATTGAGGGGGGAGTAAGATAAATGGCCTATTGTTATATCCCACTTTTATGCAGAGGACAGAAAACACATACATGTTCTGAAATTCAAAAAAGCCACAAAATGTGGCTTCCTATTTCTAGTCACTTTTCTTCACTCCCTAATCCAAATGGATTCTCTCTTAAATGGAAAAAGGAGTAACTAGTTTCTAGCTTTCAAACTGTTTAATTTTTAGCTTTTAAAAGGTCCTCTAATTCCAAGAATAAGTATTCAGCGGGACTTTACTTATTCCTAAAATACTCAGCCAGTAGATTACAGAAAACTATGTAAGAACTGCAGCTCAAACCTGTCAATAAATTGAGATAGTTCAATGGCTGCAGATATTACAAAGCACAATTCATTATTTCCACATGGTAAGCTTGGGGGGAAAATATCCCTCAACATATTACATGAAACAAGTAATTGCAAGTCATAGCTCTTCAATTCATGTTAAGCACCATTTTTTAAAGTTACTGCAAAATATACAAATGCAGGAACAGTGATGTACGTAAACATGTCATAAAGATTCCATCCTACTTTCTGGCAAAGCTGGAAGGACTAATATTTTCTGAGGTGATCTAAAAATATAGTGAGATTGAAAGATGAGGAAAAAATATCTCTTTCAATTTAGTTTGAGGCATACCTATTCAGGTATTAATCTTGCTGAGTACAAATTTTTTCTCCAAAGAAAAAAGTAAGCAGAGAATTAAAGCTTTAGTTAATCTAATAATCTGGTGTGGTAAATTATGGATCCTGATAGTTTTTTCAGGAATTTAAAGCAGACTTCTCCATTCTGGTACTTATTATTTTTTATGCCAACTGGGCAAAAATCCTCAGCTCTCATTCTAAGAGCAAATCTTTTGTAAAAGTCTTAAAAGATGAAAGCAGCTGTTATACAAGTAATCCTCAATTTACACTGGTTGCTGAATGACCACTTTAAATTACGAGTTTGTAATGCACTTCTGGCTGTCATAAAATGTCATGCCAACAGTCACATGACTGCATTTATGGCGCTCAATTTATCCCTGCAATTCGGACTGGATTTCCAGTCAGAAGTCATTAGGATGGTTAAGCTGAGGCACCCAATTGACTGGACATGATTTTACAACACTTTTTGTGATATCGTTAAGCGAATCGGCAGCTGTTCTGCCAACCTTGTGGTCATAAGTGTGAAACCACTCTTCTGAATAGCATATATCATGATCATGTAACAGTGGGCTACTGTAACCAGCCGCAAAGGCAAGCCAATTGCCAAGCACCTAAAATGCAATTGCATGTTGTGTGTATTGGCGCAACATTTTTTGACAGCCAGAAGTGCTTTACAAACTCATAATTTCAAAAGGCCATCGAGCAATTTTCTCAAATCTTTCTAATATATTTAATCATTCAGGGAAACTTTGAAAATGCCTTCCAATAGCAAAGCATTGTCCTGAAGCATTAACTTAACCGACCTTTCCAGGATAATATTGGACTCAAAGTTTTATACGAGTCCAGATTTCCTTAAAAATCTGGAAACAGTCCTTCACAAAGCATCCATCCTTTAAACAGCCATGCCTTTCAGCATGCTCAACACAGCTGACCCAGGGACTGTTCCTGGATATGGTGTATGCATAGCTGTGTTGCTAACTATTCCAGAACTACCATGAAGCTTGCAGATACGCAGGGAAAGCCTTTGATATAATTCCCCCCCCCCCAGCCTTCCAGAAAACACTGCTGCTGCATGGCCTGGAAGTACTTTTTACTTCTGCCTCTCCACTTTGCAGTGTGTCCCTTTTCAATATTTTCCAAACAAGGTGCAGGCAAAGCACCAGAAAAAGAGTGAGCCAGATTAGGAGAAGCAAGCAGCAAAGATAATGCTTGACTTACAACCATTTGTTTAGTGACCATTTAGTTACCACAGCATTGAAAAAAGTGACTTATGAACAGTTTTCACATTACCGTTGCAGCGTCCCCATGGTCACATGATCAGAATTGGACCCTTAGCCACTGGCATGTATTTATGATGGTTGCAGTGTGTCCCAGGGGTCAGGGGATCACCTTTTCTGACCTTCTGACAAGCAAAGTCAAGGGGGAAGCCAGATTCACTTAGCAACCGTGTTACTAACTTAACAACTGCAGTGATTCGCTTAACAATTGTGGCAAGAAAGGTCATAAAATGGAGCAAAACTCATTCAACAACTGTTTTGCTTGGCGACAGAAATGTTGGGCTCAATTGTGGTTATAAGTCAACGACTACCCGTAAGTTTAGAAACCAAAGGTGTCATTGCAGAAGAGTAAGCACTAAGCAAAAGCACAAATTCAGCTCAAATTAAGTCTTTTAAAAAGTTGTCGTGATTTTGAACCACCATCTCTTGACTTGACTTTGTAAATCAGACAAAATAGGGTAAGAGCCAAATGCCCAGAAGGAAACCTAATGGTCTGGAATACTCACTTAGTGTGGCTGTGGGGGGTACCAGGAGCCTTGCCAAAATGCCGATAAACCTGGCGGGCCTTTCTGGGTCCTGCAGGAGGCAAGTTCAGAGAGAGCTTTCAGTCAGGCTGAGACATCAACAGGACTAAGACCAATAAAAGCTTCAAAATTCTTGAAAGTCTTTAATGTCCTCTCCCAACTCACCAGAAAGCAAAACAGTTCCCTGGCCCTTAGGAGCAGCCATGGCTAACTGGTCAAAAGTCATGATCTGGCCTCCAGATTTCAAGATGCGTCGGCGGGCTCCCTGTGTGACTCTGAGGGCACAAATCTGAGGAGGGGAAAAAAAAAAACAGTCTGCAACATGAGAATCCTCAAAGCCAACAATAAAAAAATGTAAGCATAGGCAGCCATCATTACCCATGGGGTCATTATTTTGATTGTTGTCCCATCTTTATTACTTTAATAACTCAAGGCATGGATGTACCTAATACTCCTTCCTCCTCCTATTTTCCCCACAACAACAACTTTGTGAGGTAGATTGGACCGAGAGTGCGTGACTGGCTCAAAGTGACCCAGCTGGTTTTTGTGTCTAAGGCAGGACTAAAACTCTGGTTCCTAGCCTGGTCTCTTAACTGCTGCCCCTAAATGGCTTGTCCACACTTAGAAAATATGAGACCTTGTTCCCCGCAGGAAAGGGTTTTATGTATCCATAATTTTAGATTATTTTGCATATGGATAAAATGGGAACAAGCTTGTGTACATATGTAACAAAAAAATTTTACCATCTCCATTATAGTAATTGAACCCACGCAAACGATAGGATATTTCTATTTACAATCTCACCTACATCTCAGTACCTTTAATCAACTGACTACAAGGAGACACTCAACGATTAGTCAGGAAGCCAAGGTTCAGAATATTAAAAAATATTTTAAAGAAAAACACTTGTAAAAATTGCATTTCTGCTCTGGGTAGAATTAGCAGCAAAGCAACTATAAATATTTACTGAAGATACACACTAGCTTTTTGCATATAGTTCTATATTTACTGTCCGCTCCTATATATTGTTATTTTCCTCTAGTTTTATGAAATTTAAGCTGTCAAGAAATCCATCCATCCATTGCTCTATCCCCTCCCATCTGAAGAATTACTCTGCCACCAGTCAGGATACCTTCAGTTTGGGAATTTCCTGGATGCGAACATCATCCGTCACGGTGCCCACCACAACAGCTGTTTTGTTTTCCCGCCCTTGGAGCTTCATTTTACGGATCTAGAGAATAAAAGAGTGATCAAGTTAGCCTGCCTGTCCTGACCAATTTGTCTTTATAAACAGAGGCTTCAATCAGGAGGGGAATATCGCTGTGCTGAGCGTCATTGTTTTCCCGCAGACATTTCTAGTTGGATAATGAAAGGTCTGCAGGAAAACTGAGCTCAGAGAACACCAAGCACTCTGACTTAATAATATTCTCTCCTAGTGGAATATTACCACTGTTCGCCTCTTCAGCTCATCACTATACCAATTTCCACTCTTCTTTTTTCTCTGTTTGGTTAAAGCCACAGCAGAGGTGGCATCCCTTCTTCTTTCCACAGAGTAGGAACAATCACAATCACAAAGCATACTTAAAGCAAAGAGGAAAGACTAAAACTAAGAGGGTAGCGGAAGGACCAAGAAACAGAAAAGCGATAAGAGAATTGAAGAGTCTGCACTTACCAAGCGCGACACAGACAATGGAGGCCGGTTGGTGCGGCTCATGAATAGCCGTTTGAGTATCACCTTGTTGAATTTGGCATTGGTCCGGCGAGCCAGGAATCTGTAGAGCTGAGAGGGTGGAAATTAAAACCTCCAAATACACTATGTTATTCTCTCATCCTGCACCAAGGTATCTAGAAATTAGCCTCAAATTTAGAGCACTTTACAGCAACCTTACTCAATATATGACCTTTGCAAATGAAACGGAAGTCCACACTTTCCTCAAATATCACCACAAAGAAGAGCCTATTATCTCCTAAAATCGCCTGAATCATTATGAAAGAGGTGCATTGCCCAATGAAGAGTCTAAAATTAAACCTAAACATTGCTAATGGATTTCCCAGCAACTAAGGATCATATCATGCAAAAGTGATCAATGATGTCACTTAGAATCTTTATACATACAGTACATTGCTGTCAAGTGTAACTCCCCCCCATACCCATATATTTATATTTTTTCATGTAAATGTAAAACTTGGGTCTCACCTTTACTAAGAGACGAAGATAAATATCCTGACTCTTGGGCTCCTTACGCCGAACCTTACGGTCCTTGTTGTGGCGAATATCAATTCCCTGGTGACAAATAAGAGAAATATTCAGGTTAATGGACATATCTTATATATGCCCTTTCCCTGTAGGGTTAGGGTCAGATATGTATGTAAAACTAAATGAACAAAATGTAAATGACATTAGAATGATATATGGCACAACAGCAATAGACATTCAACCATATTGCACCATACTATCCCTATTATGTTGGGTCACATAAGTAGCTGTTAGTCCCTTTTTTAGACAAATGCCAGAGTTATTCAGACTTATTTT